CGTCGGTGGAAGTATCGCCATCGCGTGCTGGACCCAGAAGCCTTTGGATTCGCTCCCTAGGCACGAGGAGGTCGTCGACAAGGTATTGCTCCATTGCCAACGCGTCTGCTACACAGCCGTGCAATGGGTACGATAAATACGCGTCAATCCCTACGAGAACGGCCCAAATACGATTGGGACGAAGGCACGGCTGTAGCTGCAATGCTGCTCATCAACAATTGAAGCCGATGCAAGTTTACGTCTACCTACATTCGAGATTGAAGAATTGTCCGTGCCGTGCTCTTTTGCCAGTGGCGCGTCCAGCTGGTGGGGGGGTGTCCGATTTGTCGCCAAGCCGATGATGTCAGCCTCTAAACAGAGCATAGTGGTATAAGTGTAGACTCCAGAGGATATGTGTAAATACGCGTGTTCGAATGTTGCGCACGCTTGGTTCACTCTAGAAAGAAGGTGGAACTGTATTAATGCTAAGGGTGGGTAGTAGATGTTTTATAGTCGCAGCGTGGATGAGATAAATATAGAAAACCGCATAGGCTGTGTTGAAGTTGCACCTATATTCACCTACAAATGTGATCCAACACCGGAAGCAATATGAGTTTTCGTTTCTTAGTGGCCCAATTGAGTTGCACGGTGTCGGATCACATTTGTCTTTTCAATCTCCGTCAGGAGCAGGATCCAGTTCCAGTGTTGTGCGGGTCGCGCGACCGTCACCGAGGTCATGACGGTCACAGAGCCATGACTGCGGCTGCCATAAAATGACCACGCACTATGAAGCTAGGTCAGGTCGAAAATCAATATAGCCCAGGTCGAAGATCACCGGCACCCCTAATTAGATCATCTGCTGGGTTGATGATCGTGAACCTGTTGACCATAGGTCATTTTTTTCGACCTAATGGTGGGCCATAAACTTGAGCCGTTTTCAGGACTTTTGTTGGGTTGTTTATGAGCAATCATAGGTTGATATATTGTGACTATACATATGCATGTGTATGTTGACGTCGACGTCCTATGAGTTAATTACCTGTTCTTCATTATCATCTAGATATACCGCTCGTGCTAAACTACCACTGTGGCTTGGCCGGCTCTGAACCGGCTCCAGCGGAAGAAATGCCGAGGTAAGCGATGATATTAGGCAGAGCTGCCAGTTCGATCATTTCCAGTTCGGCTCCATCGGTGCGGCAGTTTTAGCCGGAGCGGCGGCAACACTAGTGCTGGCCCGTCGATATGAAGAGGGAGGGAAAAGAAAGGTTGACCTAAAAAGCATCGACTCGAAATGGGAGCCGTGTTGAGAGGTGAAGATATTACTGAATATCCATGTTCCGGCTCACTGCTGCGTCGAAGGAAGGAGGGCGTACCAGCTGTTGTATCGAAGGTGCTGGCCTCTATCCATGTAGAGTCGTTCTTGAGCGACAATGAGAAGGAACTGGTTATATATAATAAACAGCGCGATTCTGCCTCTTCCCCTGCACGAGATTTTGGATGGAAGAGACAAAGCAATGGTTGGGGCGAGCTCGAGACTGGACAGTCCATCGCACAGCAGATTCTTTCCCACGGAGATAAGAATCAGGTCGGACTGGCTGGAGAGGGTGTTGGATTCTGATCTTGATCTGGAGTGGGATCGACGCCGTGAGAAAGGTTCCGCGGAAGCAAATAGCAAAGGTGGTTGCCGACGCACCATAGCGCATCATCTCTTTTCCGTCGCTGGTGTCGATTCTCGCTTGCACAGTAAAGTGGTATCTGGAACAAGCAATCTTGCCCTTGAACGGGACATCTACCAGATCGGCTCCAGGATCGTCGCATGCGAAAAAGTTCCGCGGATGAAAATATGTGGCGAGGCTGGCCTGCTCCTTTGGCTTCCATTAGCAGCGCATACCGCCTCTTTTCGCCGGGAACGTCTTCAATCTCGCTGTTGAGCCTTGTAAAGTGGGACTAGATCTTGACCAGATTGGTCCCGTGGAAGCAAAAGTAGTAGGCGAGAGGAATCGGATAGTCAGAACAGAGTTGGGGTCGTGGTAGCAGGGAGGCAGACAGCGCACGCACCTTAAAGGCCGCAAGTCTCTCGAGGTCCGACCACGAGACCAGTGCCATAGAACTTCCGACCCCCCGGGGGTTCAATTCCCCCTTGATGCAATTGCCATTGTACCGATTCCGTTACCTTTTTACTTTTGTCAACTGGTGCTTAGCCTTGAGTGTTATCAAGCAAAAGATTGTAGTACAAGTCATCATATTCATATATAAGTAGTAATAAGTAAATGCGAGTGGTGTACAGCATATGCGACAGTGGGAACGGAAAGCTAGACAACAAGAGAGCAAGAATCGACAACACAGACGCATACAATCACTGATAACCGGGAATCAGCTCGCCCTTTCTGAGGTGGAGACGGGAGTCCGTCCAACCCGCGGCTGTCAAATACACGCCCCACGCGGCATCGAGGACTTCCCACAGCCCATCATCATCAACGCCCAATGCCATCGTATTTTTCCACAGCCCATGGACCGTCGACACCCCGCCAAGAAGCTTGTGCTGCGTGAAATCCTTCGCGAGCGACTCCGCGAGGGCAAGGAGCGGGGCATGCATCTCGTCGGCGGTTTTCGGCGAATCCGAGAGGTGCGCGGTGGTGGGGAAGGGGTTGGACAGGAGCGAGCCGGGCGGGAGGAGGGACGCGAGGAGGAGGTCCTGGCGGTGGGTGTACATGTACTGGCTGAGGAGCGCGTAGGACTGCGGGTCGGGCAGGCAGAGCGGGTGGATCGGGATCTCTGCGCCTGCGGGCGACGCCTGGATGGCCTTGGGGAGCCCCGGGCAGTGCACGGCGAGGACCTCGTGATGCGCGGGGTGCAGCATGACCTTGGTCGACTTCTCAGCAAAGACGCCGAGGAAGTAGGACGGGCCCTCGGCGGGGGCGTGCGCGGGGAGCGACACGGGGAACGTGGCGGGGATCAGCGCGTCCTTGGCGGGGGGGCGCGGGGCGATGAGGGAGAGCGTGTAGAAGAGGCGCACGCCGTACTCGCGGACGAGGTTGTCCCGCGCGAAGAGGGTGCGTGCGTCGGGGAGCGGGATGGAGTGTTTGCTGAGCTTGGGGACGAGCTGGACGGTGATGAAGGTCTCCTTGGACGCACGGTACGTCTTCACGTTGAGCACGATGTGGCCCGCCTTGGCCTTCCGCCGGTGCATAGGCGTAGAGGCGGCCTTGGAAGCGGCAGCGTGCTTGGCAGTGGACGAGGGCCGGCGGACAGGGATGTTCTCAGCATTGGAGGCGTTGCGTTTTCCGATCATCATAAGCAGCGGGGGATTCTGGGGTTCCCATCGCTCGTCTGGATTTATATACCTCGTCTGCCCACACCAATCGCGTACTCCAGCCAATTCACTAATTGCCATACTTGGTTTGTTTGTACTTGTACGCCTCTCATCACTTTACATACGAGGCAATTTGCGAGTACCAATCGTCAGGGTCGCATGATCTCTATTGTGTGCAACCAATTCCGGAATCTCGCTTCAAGTTCCATTCTCGATGTGTACCTCCTTTGTAGGCCTCAACAGTGGGCGCCACACTTGAGGACAATGATTTGCGATTTACTTCCGCGGCTTGGCGTCGATCCTTGCGTAGACAGGGCCCAGTTTGAGTTGCTTCATCCTCCTTGATTTAGGGTACAGGGTTCGTTAGCGAGGATTTTCCAGAAGGACCAGGTGCGTACAACTACCCCTTCCATGGAAGCCCTGCTCACAACATCGTTTTTCGACAGGCACTGCCAGCGCAGAACGTCGTCTTGGACGCTTATCCACCGCCATGCTTCCCAGTCCCCACCAGAGAGGACTCTTTGCCTCCTCATCGAAGCGTTGGCGACGAAGACGATGGCCTTACTCCAACAGCGAGGATGACATGCGCCGCCCTATCTCCTGATTATCCCCAGTGACGCAAGCAGCAGACCCGCTAATATTATATTCAATTCCCAAGCAACTATCCTCAGCGCTCTGGACACGTCCTTGAGTGCCAACACAGCTGGCTACGGCTTTACGAGGACGACTCTATCGCCCGAATCGCTCCCCAGCAGCCTTGCACCCGATCCCCGCACTCAACAATGAGCTTAGCTCTCATTGGGCTATATCTGCTGTCGACACAGTTGGACGACTCTTCTTCATTCACACCGCAGCCCGTCCGCGTCACCACCCTACCGTCGCCGCTGTATACGGGAAGTCCCGGGTCGTCCCTGCCGCCTGAATGCGCTTGCCTCACGATCGTGCCACGCCGTTAACGGACATCTCCTCCGCTGCTCCCAGGCTCCAGAATGTCGAGGACGCAGAGGACTAGTTTCTTCTGAGGAGCGCCGGAAATTTGTACGACAATCTCTACGTTCCCTTTCAACGGCCATAATCCCTCGCTGAGAATATTTTTCGATGGTCGTTCGGTCGTTACCTGCTTGTACGTGCGGACTCGGAAAAGAAAGAGGAAAGAAATTCAGGTGTGTCGATGCGGAATTGAACTCCCCCCCTCCCCTGGCCAACGACGACGCGCTGCTGTATCTGTTGCTTCCGCAAATCCCCGCTGCCTCGTGTACAAGAAAGAAAATGCCGCCCGCACGCTTAGAACTCTGGAAGATTGGATTCTTCTGAGAGGGGGTGGGCTGGACAATTTTACGATTCCTCACTGGGAATACTCTTCGTACTTTTCTGAGCTCCGAGAACGTTGAGGTACGGTCGCTCTGTCGTTTAGTCTTTACAAATAGAGGAGCTTGGATGTTCAATGTCAGATAAGAAAATCATTTAGACAGAAACGCATATAAGCATCGCTCGCGAATTGAACCCTCAGCGAGTGGTCCGTTATGAGGTTATGAGTAGATGGAGCTCGGAAAGAGAAAGTTCACCTGTGTCGAAAGCCGACTACTGTTATGTTTTGACAGAGGCCTCAGTGTTCGTTTTTTCCTCTTAGTAATGCATGTTCAGTGTTCACTATTCCAGGCACATGCATAGAAGAAGAAACAAAATGAAAAGCAAGCCTTGTTTCTAATGCATCAAGGGGGAATTGAACCCCCCGGCGGGTCGAAAACCGACAATATCTCGGAGGAAATGGCAACGACCCAGGTTACCACTACCCCATTGATGCGCACGACCGCAATTAGCCAGGAGTGAGGCTCGAGCGGAGGGATAAAAGACGTAGCCCTCAAATAGATACTGCACCAAATACTAAATCCGAAATTTTGGGGCCTCTCCCCAGCCGTGCGCACGATTTCCCTCAACTTGGTATCTCCCTGGTTTTTCACGTTCCCAATCTCTGAGGGAGACCACACCGAGAAACACTAGGTTTCAAACTTTCACATATTTATCTCCTCCGAGACCAGCGTCTGGTAGGAAAGCGGGACACGTGTTATCTGCCAGCTTGGACGAGTCTTCGGCGTGTCCGTGGAGTCAATCGGAGCCCACCCGCCCACACTAGAATATACTTCCGCGGGATTGGATCATTCTTGTGGGGTGTCGATCCTTGCATGGTTCGCCACGAGATCAAGTGATTATAATGAGGGTTTATTGCATCCAGCGGCCTTGATAAATATAAGGTGCAGGTGCGTACAACCACCTCTTCGTCATGGAAGCAGACGTCTTCCTTTCGTTCTCACATAGTATTGTCGATAGTGTGGATTCTTGCTATCCATACACGGGTCCATTTGTTTCTATCCTCCTATCAATTTATCAGAGTCGTGTCGGGTCAACTGCCGCTTGAGAAGAGGAAGACAGGAAGACATACTAGGAAGCGGGTTCGGTATCCGACCAAGTGTGAGGAGCAGGCCAGGTACCGTCACGAATTAATGCAGCCGACTCGGAGGATGATCTAGCTTGCTAACTACTGTTTTATCTAGTTTGGTTGTTCACGGATATCTGTGCGAACAGACCTGTATTGCTATTTCGAAATGTTGTTAGTCCCCTCCTAATGTCTTTGGTTGTAAAATCCCTGTGTCGACGCTATCGAACCATGATGTGGTTTTGGTCTCGTGAGCAATGCCGCATACTTCTCTCCCTCGTTCGGAATGATAGAGGATGGAATGCGATCTTGAGGTAGAACTGTAGAAAGACAACCCCGTGTTCACTAGCAGCACACACACCATGACCGCATGATTGATGCTACGGCACCGAGTAGAGATGGCGCACGTTGTACCACCTCGATACTTTCACGTTGTTGATGGGGCATTGAGATCTTAGGGAGAATGTTTTTGAATCAAACTTCATAGATAAACGTCTACCTGGCTAATTCGAGATCCTGATTTAGCAAGACGTAGCATCGGTGGATGCTTATTATTGAGGAAACTAGGACATGGCCGCTCACAGTGAAGAAATTGTTCAAAAGTACACTGGGGCGACTGAAATCCAATGGTTGCAAACTATTCAACTCTCTCCGAGCTGCTCTAAAGAGAACCAGTGCGTCACCAAGGGACCTAGGTCCACGCCAAATGCAGAGCCGAATTGAGAGCGCAATGACCTCACCACTAAGCAGGGACGCTATGTTTCATTACGCCCAAAAGAGCAGCTGAGGTCGCCGCGACATTCATAGACCGTAAAAGAAGCAGGCGGATCAGTCTCAAAAAGGCTCCTCATAAGCCAATATTTCAATATACACCTCGATAAGGCATAAACACTGGTCGCGAGGCGCCAATCCTTTGTTCAGATTTCGGAAATGGGATAGTAAAGGGAGATAGGACCTGTTCTGGCCATTAGAATAAACTTCGATGGTCTAGAATGTTGTAAAAGCAGCACAGAGCCCGATTGGCTGGGGGCTGTTGAGGGTGAACTTGACTTGAGCGCGACTAAAAATCCATTTGCGCGATAGAAGTGCCGAATACAGCTAATAAATTGCACAAAAAGTCAGAATATCTCTTTACGTTTGAATCAAAATAATATCCATCATAAAATTATGCACAGTATGAGCCCGACACAAGATATACGTCGAGCAGGATGGATCTTGACACGTGATCAAGATTGGGATGGGATCCAAACACATGCAAATAAAGATTGAATCTCAATTCCCCATGCTTTCATCTACTAGGATCTGGCAAGTCCAGCTCAAATAACCCCATGTGTATGTCTTGTCGTTTCCAGGAAACGAATGTGACTATCTTGGGATAAAAATAATGTTTTTTCTTTCTAGTTTTCCTTCTGGCACCGGTACTACCACATCTTCAGCACATTTCCTGCGAGCTTCTATGTGTCTCTAATCCAGACTTGGCAATACCAGAGGTCACCTGTATTTTTCAGTGCTCCAAAACATGCACCCTGGACACCTTTTTCAAGGGAGGTCGCTGTATTGCGGAGGTCCATCCAGTACAGGCACCGTGGCTGGCCCCCCCGCTCAGATGCCAAAGTATTCACCTATTCAGGCTAGGTATACGTACTCAACAACTCCGTTGACGGATAAATGATGTGTGCGAATATGAAATTACTAGCGGACCCTGCAGGTCAGGCTGAGCGACACAATTTCTTGAATGGTGTCCATGTCCTGGTCTCTCTGAGTCAAGCCAAAGGAAAGGCTCTCGATGCCCGTCATGCCCAGAACCATGGCCAATGTCGAAGTCCAGCATGCCACCAATTGTGTTGTGCAGTATTTAACTGAAGGTCTTCAGTGAGTTGGCTACCACACCCCACTATTACTATCTTATTCTCTCCAATGCCCTACCAGCCTCCCTCTCCCGGCACAGCAGGCTTCGCCATAGTTGCGATTGCCGAATCTGAGCTTCCCAACATGGTGAACCGCCTCGTGGAGGAACCACCCATCTTATCGTCCAACATGCGCGACAGCATCAACTCAGCTGGCCCACACTTTCTGGATGCGTTTAATAACCAGGTTTTGAGCCGCCAGCTAAGCTTGAACACCCCTAATGCCTCAATCGCCAACTTGGCCCGCCCCGGTATGGACTGTGTCGTCGCACTTACAGACGCTGTGGGCACGGCATTTTTAGTCGGCGTCAAGCTCTTCATGCTCACGACAAACTGTTACTCCACCCCGCTCCTTCCTGCCCCAGTCAAGACCGGAGAACTCCCGGTCATAGCGTATCTAGTCAAGGGCGCCATCTCTCGATCCAACGTCTATTTCAGCCTGGTGTATTTCTTCAACCACGATTTAGCAGACCTTTTTGGCGTGGTGCTCGGCCATGCTGGCATGTTTTCTCCTCACTGGAGACCGTTTCCTGCTGGAGAGGGGAAGACCGTGGATCCTCCGGTTAATCTTGTCAATGCCATCCTGGAGGACGCTGCTGAATGCCTTAGGCAAATGCCGCTGGCAGACCTTGAAAAGCTCGAGATCCATGTCAAAGGATTCTTACATGTTCAAAATGCGCTCGATATCACCGATATGGGTTTCCGGGAGCTCATTCGGGTTTGTTGTACGATTGTCAATAGGGCTCTCAGAAGGCCTGGTGATCTTCAAGTTAATCGAGTTGGATAAGAGTTGGATTGAGTTGGATTGGACGGTCACCCAGAGTCGAGTCGCCGTCGGGTGGACTAGTGGATTAAATTTGGTTTTGTTCTTCTATATGTAGTTTCTCAATACTGTCTTCGACTTTACTTTTGTTAGTTCAATAAAATGTACACTTATATACCGTACAAAATACTCTATCTTTATCACATTTTAGGGAAACATGATGATGAATACTTATCAGTTGCAGCTAATCAATAGGTTGAAGGCATAAAAGTCAAGTATACCCTCGTTCAACGAGTTACACAGGAGAAAATTCTTTCTGCAAACGCAATGCCCAGATAGAAAAGCAATATCGACAGTCATCAAAAATCCTTCAAGACTTGACGGGCCACGATACAGAAAAAAGGACTCATGGTCCCCCGCAGTGGTTTCACCCGGATAGTACATTTTAATTGACGTTCAGAGGAAGATACCGAAACGTTTCCGCGCGCCTTATACCTCCTGCTGCAGAGACAGAAAGGTCGTCACTGTCAAGGTAAATCCTCTACCTTGTCGCAATGTTTAGAAGGATTGATTCCGTGTAAGTAAAGCGTCCAAGCGGCGACGTCCGCTGCCATGACGAAGAGGTGGTTGTACACACCTTATATTTATCAAGGCCGCTGGATGCAATAAACCCTCATCTCGACTTGATCTCGTGGCGGGCAGACCGTATTCACGCAAAGATTGACACCCGCATAAACGATCGGCGGAAGTAGATTACAGCTTCGCGTTGCTTGCGATTGACTCCGCGGACAGGTAACAAACACGCCAGAAGCCTCGAAGATTCGTGGATGGCTTGGGGAAAATGCCCCGTCCAAGCTGGCAGATAATACGTATCCCGTTTTCCTGGACGCTGCCGGGCTCGGAGGAGAGAAGAAGGCCATAAACATGTGAACCCGGTGTTTCTCGGTGTGTGTTGCTCCACTAATATCAAGATAGATCCCTCAAAGATTGGGGACGTAAAATCGGCGTTTGGGATGCTGGATCAGACATACACCCTCTTTAGGAAGAAGCGCAGGACACGACGGGATGCGGAGGAAAATGAGGGAGAGGCATCAGTGTAAGCCTGCTGCCTCTCTAACACAGTGGAGAAGAGCGCAAAATGTTGTGGAGATACCAAGTTGGGGGTAGTGGTAACCTGGGTCGATGCCATTCGCTTTTGAGATATTGTGCGTTCTCGACCCGCCGGGGGTTCAATTCCCCCTTGACGCATCAACAGCCGGCCTATATGCTTTTCATTTTGTTTCTTCTACTATGGGTGGTCACGGTCTGCAAATGGATCGCAATGTGCAAATTTCGTTTTTCTGCACGTTCTAGCAGGCCGTTAGCCTTCAGATTTTTTGTGACACTTCAATGAATGTATATCACTAATTCTGCCCAGTAATTTTATCTGCAGGGGTAGAGAAAGCCTTGAGAGGCAGCAAAAACTAGGCGAAAATGGCCCATGTAAGGACCGGCTGCCTCCGGTTTCACTTTCGTAGCGTTGAGTAGCCTCGGAATGACTTGGGGGTATGATTAAGGCTCATTGTAAGAGTTCAATACAAAAAACTCCGGACCTATTGCTTGAGGGATGCACGAAAAATGAGAGATGCATTGGATTCAGCGTTACAGAACGTGACAGTTTCAATGTCCGGTACGCTGTTGCTCGGTGAGAAGGCAGTGCC